GATGGGGGTGGGGGTGGGGGGACAAGAAGAACTGAATTGCGAAAAGCTAATGCACCTCCCTGTCGCTGAGGGCGCGCGTGGGGTGGGGCGGAGTGAGCGGGGCATCGTGCCCCTCCCCCGCCCTCGTATGGTTGGGGGTGCCTCTGGCTAGGGGTACTAGCCTCTGGAGAAAACGGGAAAGGCATGGGCTGTGGGGCCTTGGGGATTTCGTCTTTGGCGTGCTATTTTGGTAAAGGCATCTTAAGTTTTCCTGAGTGGACACGCAAAATTGAAAGCCTTAAGACACCGTGTTAAAGGGACAGTAGGAGGAACAGGGAACTCTCCTGGCCTGGTGTCCACGTGAGTCCTACCCGGCTGTGGAGAAGCCGGGATGAGCTATTGGCAGGTTTGCTTTGCTCCCCGTCTGCTTTCCCAGACTGGCCCTGAAGCCATTTCCTACTGGGTGCAGAGACCGCCCCGGAGCCGCCCCTCGGGTCCCTGAGGAGCAGGAGGGAGGGCACCCCATGTGGTTCCCGCAGGCAGGAACTTGCTGTGGCGGTAACCATGGGGACGGGGTCTGGGGGCCTCCTGGCGCTCCGCGCGGGCGGGTTGCCTCTAGTTGACGCCAGCACTGCAAAAATAACTCGGGAATGAACTACAGCGCCTTGTTTTGGTATAAATTTTAGAGGACCAGGACTCTACCAGTAGCTGTGAATAATAATGGTTTTCAATTTTAGCGTTAGAATAAGGAGTTGTTAGTCTGAAGGATAGGTGGTTTCTGATACGGTATTAAGTACCTGGGTCTTAATTGAGTTAATTTTAGAGATTGAACAATAATTTTTAGGAGACCCTAGTAATTGGCATGTATAGACCAGCTCTACAGGGGCCTAATGAGAAACACTGTCAAATTCACTTTTCTCTACAGCTGTTTGTAAATGAGCCATTGTCATGAGAAGTCCTGTTGAAGTTAATATTTTGTCCTTCATGATATAAGAACTCAAACTTTGAAAGAAAGCTTTGGACAATTTAATATAGAAGTGAGTTTTAAATGCTGTTGCATTAAATACAGACAAATTGGAAGATTTAGTTGTCAAAATGACTTAAATAAATTTCGCTGTTACAACTAAGGACGTCCACCTTTGGCAGAAATTTGGTTTCTTGCCTTCAAGCATCCCAAAACTCCATACAATGTAAAGTTCTGAGCAGAATCTCAAATGAGAATTTTTAGAACAATAGAGTTTAATATGATTGATCTGGAAATGTCAGGGCTGATGCTGTTGAAAGGTTGGCAAGTTTATTACTAAACAGTAGACTTCTTATCTTTATTTATTTAGTTTTTTAAAGATCTCATATTTATTACTGAATCAACCTTCTATTTCAGGAGGGAAAAATCAACAGAGCAAAATCACAAGTTCATTAATCTTACAATTAAAATGCCCCAAATGTCCAGACAGTAGCATCTTTTCAATCATTTAAGGGTGTAGGCAACCTGGATACAGCATAAATATGTGGGTCATGTCTCATGTGTGATTTCTCATAGGCCCAGTTTGGTTCTTCTCCAATGTCTCCTCTTCGAGTTGTACCTGATTTTATTACCAGTTTTCATCCGAATCCATTGGGGAATGGGCCGATTCTGCTTTTGTTTCTTGGCCAGGAACCTCTTGATCCTGAAAGTCTTGTGGGAAGACATGGTGAGGCAGAGGCAAACGCGCGCACCACGATGACGGAGAAAGCGACTTCTTATCTTTAGCATCTTTTGTACCTGTCCTATAGATGTGTTCAATTAATATGAGATAATTTATGTAGAAATGCTTTAAAACAATAAAAGCACTACATACATTTTTACATTTATAGTTAGAATGATTGGTCTATTAGCATACTTGCCAATAAACTGATTAAGCTGTGATAGTTGGGACATAGTGAGGGGCTATTTAGATTGTTAGTAGCAGGATTAAGGGTGGCACTGTCTGTGTATGGAAAAAGTCTTTGGAGTTCTTAAACTATTCTCAACTTCCAAATCCTTGCAATTGTATAGGCATCATTTGAAAAATGGAAGTAAAAAAGGTTATTAGCCTATACATACTGAGTTTTGAAAAACATTTGCTTTTTTATCTAAATATTTTACATTTATATAAAAGCCCTGATATTCTTTTCAGTTAGATTTTCTAAACTTATCAAGAAAGATAATCTTCAGGAGCTTAATGCATTCCCAAGTGGGGTGGTGGGTAGGCATAGAGCTATATGAGATAAACTCAGATTTGCTGCATCCATTTATGGCTAGTGTTCAGGATATGAAGAAAGGGCTGCACACAAATGAAAACACTAGACAAGAAATATGGATTTAGAAGGCATGGGGGCCCAGGTGGAAACCTCTCTCTAGTGGAGAAGTTCACTGAAACCCTGGACCTGTCAGCTTTTATTCACTTGAATACACATTTGCCCTTTAGGAATGCATACAGGCATATCAAAGGTAAAGTTTGGTTAATGGTAAAAGGATTATCAGGTTAGGGAATTGCCTCCAGCCACTGAGCCCACTGCAGGCCAATATTATGCTGATTTTCAGCCCTGCTGAATATCAAAGTCCATTGGCCTTCCAATGGGTCTTTTTGCATAATATGCTAATTACTGTTGGTTTTAGCCTCTGGCAAGATTATTCTAAAGTACTTTATTAGGGTTTGGAAAAAGGTCAGTAAGTTAATGTTAATGTACACTAACCACATATCCTATAAACTACAGAATACTTTTGGGTATTGGCTAGTAGATTATAAGCTAACATCCAAATTTGTTTCCCAAAAAGTTTAAGTTAAAGGCGAATAATGTAGTTTCCAATACATCATAAAATGTCATTTTACAATATCTATCACTCTTAAATGTTGAATGGAATTAAATATTATAGTATGTTGATACCTATCATCTATTTTTTAAAAAGTGACCTAGCTCTTTGATAGTCAAAGTTTCACATTGTATTGCTATTCTGTCCACTGTAGCAGTAGTTCCCAGTTAGGGACTGTTGCCTCCTGGTTGACATTTGGCAATATCTGGAGTAATTTTGGTCTTAACAAGGGTGTGGGGCTTGGGCTACTGGCATCTAGTGGTAAGAGTCCAGGGATATTGCAAAACAACAATAATTAACCAGCCTAAAATGTCAACATTGCTGCACTATTGAGAAACCCTGACTTACAGAATTCTACTCTTATGTAGTATGGTTTTAAGCATGAAAGCCGTATTGGTTATCATTCTTTCCCACAGCAGTGTGTATATTTAAATTTATTGCATATCTTGTGATCATAATATTCTAAAAGTTAAGCCAATTCAGCTGATCAAAATATAAATATCACAATTTTCAGTTATTATAAGATGTAGTATTTTATTGAAATGTATTTCTTAATAAGATTGGGCTTTTTATCACTTTTCTTTAGTTGGCATGGATGGATATTTTTTATTGCTAGAATTTGACAGAATTTAACTTTGCTGGAGGCAAAGACCAACAAGTAGTTAACATATAAATGCGAGAAGTCCATCAGAAAGCTGATGGACTTTGATATTCAGCAAGGGCTGAGAATCAGCATTGTATTACCCTGCTCCTGGCTGAATGGCTGAAGGCAATCCGCTAACCCTGATAATCCTTTATTGTTTACCAAACCTTACCATTGATGTCTGTTTGCTTTACTAAAGGGCAAATGTGCATTCTAGTAAATAAAAAGCTATGGGTCCAGACATTCAGGGAGCCACTCCACTAGAGAGTAGGTCTCCACCTGGTTCCCCATGCCTTCTAAATATATATTTCTTGTCTAGTATATCCATTTGTGCATGGCCCCTTCTCCTGAATCATCACTGCAAAAGGTTGCAGCAAACTTCAGTTCTTTTTCTCTCTCTCTCTTTTTATTAGATATGTAAAAGCCAAAATATTTTGTTCACTTAAGTTGGAAATAAAAAGAATGTTAATATAGCAATGTGGTTCAATTCTTTTTATTCCTTCTGAGTTATATGCTAAAAACATTTATTGACAGTGATCTATCAGAATATTCCTAATGACATTAAGTTCTCCAGTTTGGTTTAGAAGCACAGCATTAAAATCCCAACTTGAAAAATAATTTCTTAACTGGTCACTAATTTTCTCAGTATAGACTGTTTAGTACATTTGCAGTTATGTCGAGAATATGCACCATATTAATATTCAGATAGGTAAGAGGTAGTCTTTTTCCAAAGGCCAGAAGGGCAAATATCAGTGTTTGTAAGTATTCAAAACAGTGTTTGATTTAAGTGGTTGTTTATTAGTAATTGTTGGATGGGTGAATGGATGAACAGTTGAAAGAATGGACACGTTAGAATGTATACTAATAAAAGGGTAATATGCTAATTAGACTGGGACACCTTCTGGGAGACCTTCTGGACGTCCTCTGGACAAAGCCGTGGTGGTGGGGCCAAGGCAGAGGCAGTTAGGGGCGATCAGTCGGCGGGGCGGGGAGGCAGTTAAGGGTGAGCAGGTTGGCACGGGGGGCAGTTG